GGGCCTGAGTTCAATCCTTGGTTCCACAAAAATAAATAAATAAATAAATAAATAAATAAATAAATAAATAAAATTTTTAAATTTTTTTTAATGTTTCCTTTATTTATTTATTTTTTTAATGGTCAGCTCAGCCCACCCTGGGGGCGGGGCTGGCATGGCATGTGGTGCTGGGGATCGAACCGAGGTCCCTGCATGCTCGCCTAAGCAGGCGCTTTAGGTCACTGAGCTATCTCGCCAGCCCAATAAAATTAATTTATTCATTCATTCACAAGTTGTTCCCTTTCCTGTGAGGTGGAGTGGCACAAGGCAAAGACTTAGGGTGCTGGGCTTCTCGTTTTCATCGCATAGACAGCTCTACCACCAAGATGGTCAATGTACCTAAAACCCAAAGGACATTCTGTGAGAAGTGTGGCAAGCATCAGCCTCACAAAGTGACCCAATACAAGAAGGACAAGGTTTCCCTGTATGCCCAAGGAAAGAGGCACTACAATCGGAAACAGAGTGGCTACAGTGGGCACATGAAACCCATCTTCCAGAAGAAGGCTAAAATGACAAAGAAGATTGTGCTGAGGCTTCAGTGTGTGGAGCCCTGCTACAGATCGAAGAGAATGCTGGCCATGAAGAGATGCAAGCACTTTGAACTGGGAGGAGGCAAGAAGAGAAAGGGCCAAGTGATCCAGCTCTAACCTCGTGCTTCACTTTAAAACAAATTTGTTGAAGCGATAAGGTTAGCTGTAGAAAAATAAGTGCAGTAATAACCACAAAAAAGTTGTTTATTGAGCACCTAGTACATGGAAGTGGCAATATGCAACAGAATCTAAATTGCATTTTTTGCTCTGCCATTTTATGCCCCTCTGACAGAGATTCCCAGGATAGTTTATGTGCGAGTAGGAAGAGAACAGGGAGCTGGCACATGAGGCTCACTGGGGGCTGACACAGGGGCCACCCTGATGAAGGTGGGGGAGGGGAATCAAAGTGGCTCTTGGCAGAGGAGACCCATGCAGGCAGGAAGGGCAGCTCTTGTCATGTGTGTGGAAGCCCTTAGTAGTTACTCTGAGGAGCTCAAGCAAAGCAGGAGTCTGGGCTCCAAGGAGCAGGGGAGGGAGGGCTCTCTGGGGAGAAGGCAACTCAGTTCACTGTCAGGAGCAGGACTGAGGACTGACACTTTCCTTCCCTTCCCATGTGTGCCACAGACTACTAAAACTGCACGTGGATTGAAGTTACCCAGAAACTCTGCGAAGCAGGAGGTCTCATCAGCTCAGTGTCAGAGGGAAACTGAGGCCCATGCAGTTGGTGGAGGAAGCTCTGGCCTCTGAACCCACACTCTGAATAGTTAGCTACTGTGTGCATCTTTCTTCTGGATGATTGGTGGGCTAGGACAACTTTTAGAATATCTTAGAAATGTAATATTTCAGAGCTGTCCAAATAACTCAGGGGACTAAAGTGCCTGCTTAGGCAGGAGCAGGGGCCGGAGTTCAAACCCCAGTGTGCCATGCTGGCCCTGCCCCAGGGGCACACTGAGATAGCAATTGAGACTGGGCATGGTGGCACATAACTGTAATCTCAGCACTTGGGAGGCTGTAAACAGGAGGATCACTACAAGTCTGATCTGTGTAGTGAGACCATGTAGACCCTGTACTAAATGCATTTTTAAAAAAGAAATGTACTATTTTAAAGCAAAGTTTTATTTGTGTTGTTGCCTTCTTGGTCTGGTTTAAACAGCTGGCTAGAAATAAAAATGAATTCATTTTTATATAGAAAAAATTAGGAGAAAATGAAGTTTGCCCAAAATGGCCTGTCTTCTAATGGATGTAGAATTCAGAAACTCAATGCAGATGTTTATCTTACTGCTTTTATTTACAGTCTCATACCCAGAGCATTGCACCGTGGCTGCCCATGCACACGTGTGTACATGTCACACAATCAAATACATTTAGCCTTGATTCAAACATGCCATGATAAATGGCTGTAGTTTTGACTTTAAAAACAACTGCCTACTTATGTCCCTTTCTCTGTGCATAGCCCTGGTTGTAATCATGAAATCTCACAAACACAGCATGGTGAACTTGTAAAAAGAGCTTAGTGATCTTAGAGCAGGCCAAGGTGAGCAGCACCTAATTTGGCACAATTTGGTAGGCAGGAGTCTAAGACGTCCATGGCTGAGAAGCACAGAGGGTTTATTATTTCTAAGTGAGCTCGTGTAGTATACACTGTTTGAGCCAATCAGAATCCATCTGTACTCCTCTCCACCTGCACTGCACCCCTATGCTTTCCTAAAAGTAGCACATTCACAGTGCAGTTTCTCCTGTCCAAATAGATATGCTGCTGCTTCAAATTTCTATCTTTACTTTTGGCAGACTCATGGATGCCTTCTGCTTTGCCTCCTTCACCCTGGTGGCATCACGCAGAGGTTAGCAGGGTGGGGGAGCCAAGCACAGCCCTTGATTTCTGGGCAGTTGCAGGGGGTCTATGTAAATACACATGGGCTCCACTGTTGGACTTTAGCACTAAAAATCACTGATATGTGGAGCGGAGGACCATACAGATGTAGGATTGCTTGAATTCTTCAGAAAAAGGCAAATGAGAGTTGCAGGTATCCATGCACACAGCACCACGTTGGATCCCTGGGGTGGCCAAATGCCCAGGCCCACATTTTGCCAGTTGGCCGAGCGTGACTTATGGTAGCTTTCTCTGTCATTGCCAGTGCTGTTCCAGTATGGACAGCACACTGTACCATCATTCTGTACAATGTGATCAAGAACTCATTAGAGGAAATCTCCCTGCACATACCTATAAAGTCTCTGAGACATAAACTGCCTCAAAGTCACACAAGGATCTGATGACATGGCCTTTCCTTTCTGCATTTTCTTGTTACTCCCAAAGAATGTTTATCTCTATATAAGCATGGCACTCACTTGATATCAGGACAGACTAATATATTTCCCAGTTCTTTGGAAAAGAAGCACATTCCTTCCAGTTCCTCTCCAGGGCTGGAGAACTGGATGGGTCCTGCTTTCCCACATCGCTTCTCTCACTTGTACCTGGTGGCTGGAGGTGACATTTTGAGAAACAGTTGGGGAGTTGGTGATCAGTATTAAGCGCTGATATGAGCTCCTTGGCCAAAGATCTACCATGTTGGGCCCAGAGCTGGTCTTGTCCAACAGCAGCAGAGTAAACACAGTGGCCGAGCCAAGGATGCCAGCTCTCCTAGTGTCACGTTTGCTCTACGAATTGTCCTATCAGGTAAAGCACTTTATCCTGTGGGTGTTCTACAGATCTGAGCTAGTCAAGAGGACTAAGAGATTCATTAGGGCTTTGGGGCAAATATAGACCACAGGATGCTCGGCAGGAAGTGAAAATCCCTATGCAGGGCCTGGAAACTTGACTCTAGCTGTGCCCTCACATATTGAAGAGTAAACCTTCTAAGATCATTTCTTCATCTTCTTTTGTTTTCTTTTTCTTTAAAGGGTGGGTGAGGAAGAGAGAGAGAGAGAGAGAGAGAGAGAGAGAGAGAGAGAGAGAGAACATCACATGAGACGCGAGAAGAGACACAGTTTAAGCTAGCATTTTTTTTTTTTTTTTTTTTTTTTTTTATTTTAGGGAAGGGTCTACAGGGTGTTCAGGGTCTCACTACTACTACTAGATTGGACTCATAGTGATCCTCCTGTTTACAGCCTCCCAAGATCTGGGATTACAGGCGTGTATCACCACGCCCAGTCTCAATTGCTATCTCAGCACACCCCAGGGGCAGAGCCGACAGGGCAGACCTGCTCCTGTGCCTACTTGCAGCACTTTAATCCACTGAGCTATTTGGCCAGCCCCATTTCTTCACCTTCATAAAGAAGGTGGTGACATTAGATTATAAGGAACCCCTGCCTGAGGGTGAGCCTGCCTACTTAGAGCTCTTCCCAGTCCTCTTCACAGCCTAGGAAGTCTATATGTGTAATACCATGAAAAGTTATTGGAATTCTAGTGAGTTAATTCCAATCTACCACTTGCAGTGCAAATCACTGTGAGAATAAAGACACTAAGGCATATTTGTAGCTATGGGGGGCCAAAGGCTCCTAAGTCTAGCCACAGTGATAGCTAACGGGAACACAGGCCTCAACCCATGGCTGAGCCTGGGTGCTGTTAATTCGTGAAGAAGAGAGTGGCTTGAGGATAGGTGACTGTGAGAATGGCAGCGGAAATAGGTGAGTGCTGTGAGCTGGGCTCAGTAGGAGGCCTGAAACCACCTCTGCAGTATGAGGAGAGGATACACAGAAAGAGTACTCTGCAACCTATAATTGAGCTATGGTGGTTCCCTCACTTGTCATGGAGGTTAAGTTCCAGACACCCCAGTGATAAGTGAAAATCAGTGAGGTAAAGAAGTTATAATTATGGGCTGGAGAGATGGCTCAGTGGTCTAAAGCACCTACTTAGAACAAGCTTGGCAAAGCATCAGGGACCGCGGTTCAATCCCCCAGCACCACATGCCAGCCAGCCCTGCCCCCTGGTGGGCTGAGCTGGCCACACACACACACACCTCTCTCTCTCTCTCTCTCTGTCTCTCTCTCTCTCTCTCTCTCTCTCTCTCTCTCTCTCTCTCAAATAAATAAAAATTAAAAAAAAAAGAAGTTATAATTATTTTAGTTATAATTATTTATACGTGTTTTAAGGCTTTATAAACCCTTCTCACACTCTTATAAACCTTTCCCACACTTTTGAAAACACTTCCAAATGTTTCATTGCTATTTGATCTTTTCTTCCTCATTAAAATGAATAAAAATAAATAAATAAAAATAAAAACACTTCCAACTTTTTTTTTTCTTCCTTTTTTGGCCAGCTCAGCCCACCCTGAAGGTGGAGCTGGTGCGGTGTGTGGTACCAGGGATCGCACCACGGTCCCCTGCTCCGGCCTAAGCTTGCCTAAGCACGTGCTTTAGACCACTGAGCTATCTCGCTGGCCCAACACTTCTACTATTCTTAACCATTTTTTTTATTTTTTTATTTTATTTTTTTATTTTTTTAAAATTCAGTGTTTATTTATTTATTTATTTTTTTGGTGGAACCGGGGATTGAACTCAGGCCCTTGCGTTTGCCAGGGAAGTGTTTATTCCACTGAGCCATCTCCCCGGCCATTAACCATTTTGTAAACTCATAAACCTATGGGATTTTAACAGCATATGTGTACTGTATGATACTGAAAAATCCCATGATAGAGGCGGGGGAGATGGTCACAAAGGTCAAACTGTACAATAGTGAGGGACTACTGTAGTGTAGTATCTAATGTTTTGGGTTCCTGCTTCAGCTCTGATGCATAATCTTTCAAGCTCTAGGTAGCCATAGACTCAATCTTGAGGCTGGGGGCTGAAGAGATAGCTCAGTGGAATAAGCGCTAGCCTGGCAAGCACAGGGTCCTGAGTTCAATCCCCAGTACTGAAAAAAAAAAAAAAAAGTAATCTCAGGGCCAGGGAGATGGCTCCGTAGAATAAGCGCTTGTCTGGCAAGCGCAAGGGTCTGAGTTCAATCCCTGGTTCCACAAAAAAAAAAAAGAAAAGAAAAGAAAAAAAGGTCTTGAGGCTGGATCTCAGTCTCAAGACAGCGGGAAAGCATTGGCTTTTCATCCCACCACCTAATATGCTTGTTTTCAGAGACTACCATCAGCACCTTGGCTGGACTGATATTCATTGCTTAAAGCCAATAG